TACGTTGTGACTGGAGCTCATAATGTTGGTTGATTATCCAGTGCAGTATTGAGGAGTGCTGCTTTCTAAGGGATGCTGACCTTCAGGTGAGTAGTTAAACTGATCAGGTAGACAGTTAAGATCTCAAGACGCTACTCAAGAAGAGAAGGGAGTTTCTTCTGGTTCCCTAGCCAACAATCCTCCAGATCAATTGCGATTCATTTCACGGCTGTTTGTGGAACTTTACTCTGCAGAATATTACTGCCATTTTTACCTAAAAAATACAATTGCTACATTTGACATAAATTACTGTAACACGCATGTTTTGATATATAAGGGTCTATGAAACTGCAAGATCTTTCTTACTGGAGGACAATACAATACAAATTGACATTTCCATATTCTGCCTTCCATATTGAGAGCAAATCCCTAAGGTGTTTGGGAGCCAAAGTTCCAAGAGCCACCCTGTTATAAGGTGCCCTCTTATAAGGTGGGTTCATCTATAAGATGGGAGTCCTGTCATGGACTGGTCAACTTGTCACATACAAATAATAGCTGACTTCTGAGTTGTCAGATCACCACTGATGCCATTTCCTGCAAGTACTGCACAACAACAAATTTACATAGCAGCTTTCATGTCAGGAAAAGGTCAAAGGTGCTGTACAGTCAAGGGATTCATAAGTTGGCCTTTTTTAGCACAGCAAGCCAGCAAGCGTGCAGTGACCTAATGACCCAAAGTCATCCATTTTTCGTCGCTTCATTGTAACACGGGGCCTGAGACCTTGGAACTGGACACATTATAATGAGGTTGTTTTGTTCAAATCTGTCTTACTTCATCAGTTTCATTTCCTTGGAGCTCACTTTCACTACCGAAAGCCCCCACCTGCATTAGATTTAGACCTGGTACTCATTTTAATCAGCCTCAAAATGTGAAGGGCTGAGTTAACCTATTCGGATTGAAACCCAGAAATTTCTGGTCTTAATTCCAATACTCAACCAACTGAGCTATTCGGGTTACCTTAGCTCACTGGGTTTGGTGTATGGAGCAAGAGACCCAAGGGGATTAATAAGTATCTTTTAAAAGATGAGTCCCACACTCACGACAAAAGGTAATAAACCTCGTCGCAGCCAAAATGCTAGTCCACATCTTTGTCACCTCCCGTCTCGAATGTTCAAACGCTCTTCTTGACGATCTCCCCAACTCCACTATCCACAAAATCCAACTGCTCCAAAACTCCACCGACCATGTACTGAACCACTCTAACCTCTGTACCCCCATCACACCAGTCCTCTCCAGGCTCCACTGGCTCCCTGTCATAGAATGGATCGACTTCAAGATCCTGACACTCATCTACAAATCCCATTATGCCCTGGCACCTCCTGATTTCTCCGACCTGCTTATTCCACACACCACCACTTGCCACCTTTTCTCGGCTGGCTCTGGCCTGCGCCATGTCCTTCATCCCCTACGTTCCACCATCAGTGGCCGTGCCTTCTGCAACTTCCTTTCTCCCTCAATCCCTCTGCCTTTCTCCTTCCTTCCCCATTTTGAGATCACACCTCAAGACCATGTCCTTGGTCATCTGCCCCAGTTGGGTGTCAGGCTCCAACACTGTTAAGCACTCCAAGATGCTACCTTGCATGTAGAACGCTATATAAATGAAAGTTGTTGATGTTGATAAAGTTTCCTCCCAACTCTGTTGGTAGAATTGTGTAGAATGTTATAGTACAGAAACAGGCAAATCAGTTCTTATTCCGGTATTCATACTCCACATGAGCCTCCACCATTCCTAATCTCTCCCATACCCCTCTAAATATATGGTCCTGAATCATATGGACTGCAAATGTCCTAGCACCAGGAGTCATTTATTTGTCCTCAGGAGCCACAGGCTTGGGAGGGGAAACATCAGCTAGTGTTTCTGATTGCCATCCATTGATCCTAATTTGTGAGGACAGGTGATGGCAAGTTCGGCTGTGATCTTCCCCACAGTAAATAATCTACCAACACCCACTGGTAAAACTCATATTGACTTAAGCAAGGTAGCAGAGAGGTGCCTGCTCCTGTGTAGCATTAACCCAGCATGAGGAGAGCCCCTTCCATTAAAACCTCACATCTTAGCAGGTAAAACTGTCAATTTTCCTCACACTGCTTATCTCTACATTCTGGTGATATACTGAAATGTAATTAAGTGCACATGGTTGGCTATATAAGTGGCAGTACATTTGGAGGATTTATAGGAAACTAATACTTCTGTATCAGTTGGGAAATCTTTGAAATTCTTGGAATTTTGTTTGGAACATATGAATTCCCAACTTGCATCTGGCTTCTTTTGCCGTGCAGTTCAATGCTGACTATGACCTGCCACTGAAACTCAGTGAGTGCACGTGTGAGGATAATCTCTCAGCTGCTAACACTATAGCTTCCGAGTCAAAAGATTGTGGTTCAAGCCCTATGAGGACTTTAAGCTCATAATCCGGGCCATCGCTCCAATACCATGCTGGGGGAGTCTTGGTTGAGATGATAAACCAAGGTCCTGTCTGCAATCTATCTGCCTTATCAGGTGGACCTTAAAAATCCCAATGCATGATTTAAAAAGATAAGGGAGTTTCTCCCAGTGTCCTGGTCAACAATCCTCCAAATCTAATTAGTTACTGATTTTATGTTGTGGGACATTGCTGTGTGCAAATTGCCGCATTTTCCTATAATTAGATAATATAATAATAATAATCCTTGCATTTAATATAGCATTTTTTATGTCTTCTAGACGTCTCAAAGTGCTTCACAGAATATACAGTAAAGTGAATTGACTGTATATTTGTGGGTGAAACATGGCAGCCAATTGCACACAGCAGTGTCCCACAAACAGTTATGGATTGAGTGACCAAATTATTATTGTTTTTTTCTTGAGGGATTATTATCAGGCGTGTGGAGTAAGGAAACTTGGCCAAGGTTTCGTACTGCTGGGAATCGAACCCAGGTCTCTCACTTGCAAGGCTAGTGCTCTAACCACTGAGCTACAGGACTCTGAGCACTACATTTTTCAGTAACAATCTTGTGAAGTACTTTGAGATGTTTTGATGACATGATAAGGTGCTAGATCAAAAATGCAGGGTCAGGCAAGCCTAGAAATAGAGGTAGACACATTTTGGTGCCTATCCTTTCACCTATGCAACTTGAGTTTGTACCCAAAACAATGGAATGAAAATTGTTCTGATACTGATGAATGCTCTCTTTCTATTGCAAGAGAACCTGACTGAGGTTGCTTGTACTGAAATTTGAAATTTACACTGTGGATTGGAATCCAAAGTACTTGGGCTGCAGAAACCTTTTTATCTGGGAATATTACAGGATAACTACATAGAAATACACTGAGCCATCATAAACAACTGGCTGCTATAACACATTTGGGACATTGAAGTCTAATTTGCAATATGCCCCAATCAATTTGTTAGAATAATTGTGACTCTTGTTTTAGGAGGGTTGGATTGCAAAGGCTGGCAAATTGTAAACCCCATATCAGCAAAGTCCAAAAAGGCCAACTACAACAATAACAAGATTCCATTTATAGAGCACCTTTCACGTCGGGAGGACGTCCCAAGGCACTGGACAGTTGGGTCAGGACCCGAGCCTTGGGGAGAAAATGGTCAGGGTGAGGGGAGGGAAGGGAGGGAGCGAGGAGGGGGGAAATGGTCAGGGTGATGGGAGGGAAGGGAGGGAGGGAGCGAGGAGCGGGGAGAGAGTCGAGAGGGGAGGTGAAGGCACGGTCAAGAGAAAGGTCTTGAGACCGGCCTTGAAGGAGGAAAGGGAGGAGGCGGCGAAGGCACTGGGGGATAGAGTTCCAGAGCCTCGGGGCTGAGAGGCTGAAGGCCCGGCCACCGATGGTAGGGCGGTTGGGACGGGGGATGTGGAGCAGACCGGAGCCAGAGGAACGGAGGGTACGGGCGGGTAGGTAGGGGGATAGTAGGTCGGAAAGGTAGGAGAGAGCAAGGTAGGTGAGGATGAGTATCTTGAAATCAATCCTCTGGGGGATGGGGAGCCAGTGGAGGGGAGCGAGGGTGGGAGTGATGTGGTCCCGAAGCCTGGTGCGGGACAGTACACGAGCTGCAGAGTTCTGAATGACCTGCAGCTTGTGGAGGGAGGTGCCGGGAAGGCCGGCGAGGAGAGAGTTCCCACAGTCCAGCCTTGAGGTGATAAAGGTGTGGACCAGAGTTTCAGCAGCGTGAGGGGTGAGGTAGTGCCGTAGTCTGGCGATATTCTGGAGGTGATGGAAAGCGGTGCCAGTTGTGGCGCGGATATGGAAGAAAGGACGGCTCAGGGTCGAACAGAACCCCGAGGTTCCTGACTGGCTTTGAGAGGTGGAGAGTGCAGCCTTGGATGCTGATGCTGTCAGCGCCTGAGGTGCGGAGGCGCTGACGTGAGCCAATCAGGAGGGCCTCAGTTTTGCGTACGTTGAGCTGAAGAAAGTTGTCTCTCGTCCAGGACTCGATGTCGGACAGGCAGCTGTCAGGACATCGGTAGTCGTGGAGTTGAGGGAAGAGGAGGAAAGGTAGAGTTGGGTGTCATCCGCATACATGTGGAAGTTAACTCCATGTCTGCGGATGATGTCACCAAGGGGGAGCATATAGAAGGTGAAGAGGAGGGGACCGAGGACAGAGCCCTGAGGGACACTGCACGAGACAGTGCGGGGGCGGAGGAAAAGCCGTTTGTGGAAACAAAATGAAGACGGTGGGAGAGGTACGACCTAAACCACTCCAAGACAGGTGGAGGAAGAAACTAGCAAGAAACTGGAGTTTAGTAGTACTATTTATAATCCCATGAATGTGGTTTATGTGCCACTAATAGGAAACATAAGAGGTACTTGTTCTTTCCTCTGTTTTGCTTTATACTTTTCCATTTCAACCTTGCTGACATTTATGATTGCCTCACACAACTAAATAGAACAGTTGCTTGCAAATTGTCTGGTAATGATTGATTTCAGTGTTATGTCTTTCACCCATCATTTATTTATTTCTTCCTAAAGGGTGACCGTGGTCTGCCTGGTTCACCTGGTCTTAGAGGAGATGTTGGCATTGGATATCCTGGCTCAAAGGTAAATGACAGTATTCTTCTTCATATAGTGACCAATGTATTAACCGCTGAGCAGCATGGCACAGTAAGTAAGAATGGGGAATTTGTAAGTAAAGCAAATGATAATTGTTCAGCATCAAAATCATCAGATTAAACATTTATGTGATTAATAAGTGGTCCAATGTCAGTAAAATAATATTATTTCACCCACAAAAGTACAGTCAATTCACTTTATAGTATTTCTGTGAAGTACTTTGAGATGTCTCGAAGACGTGATAAATCACTATGCAAGGATTATTATTGTGCAGAAATTAAATCCAGGCAAAGAAAAGGGACAGTAATATCCAAGAAAAGACAGTGATTGTTGACTGAGGCTTGAAATTGTCACCACCTTAATCTTAAAACCTGAGGCTCGAAATTCCACAGAACCGTCAAAATTTACAGGACAAAAGAAGGGCCATCATTTCTATACTGGATCTTTGAAAGAACAATCCATTCAATCTAATTTCCCTGCCCTTTCCTTACCTCTCTCTTGCACCCCTATGTGTCACCTGCTCGGGCCTTCCACACTTTATAAAGCAACTTTGAGATGTTTCCTATGTGAAAGGCATGATATGTTGCTGTTATTGTTCTTTCATGAATACAATCCAATGCTACAACATTCTTGAGAAGGTAGTGTAGCCAAACTGATACCATTTGTCCAGTTTCACTTGGAAGCACTCTCAACTCTGAGTGGGTCAGGAGGTTGTGGGTTCAGCCTCGAGCTAAGTATTTGAGTTCACAGTCTTGGCTGACACTCCAGTGCAGGCAAGCAGTGCGCTGTATTGTTGGAGATGCCGTTTGAGATGTTAAACCAAGGCCAGTCTGTCTGTTCAGGAGGACATTAAAGGATCCCAAGGCATTATTCAAAAAAAGAGAGAGATTCGACCAATGTTCTAGCTAACAATCACCCAGGTAAAATTGGTCATTCAGTTCATGACTGTATGTGGGACAGTGCTATGTGCAAATTGCCTGCTGTATTTGCTTGCAAAGCTCACACTAATTATATTCTACAGCAAATCCTCTGAAGCACTTTGAGACATTTCCATAACATGATAAGACTATATCAAATGCAAAAAATATTTAATATTTGTATTATTCCAAATATGGCCTCACCAGTGATCTATGCAAGATGAGAATATCTTTGCAATCAAATGTGTAAAATACCTTAAAAAAGTACAGAAAATAGAAAAAAGACTGAGCATTTATTGTGTAGATATTATCCTGTCGGCAGAATCATTGTCCAGATAGGAATATGATTTCCTGTCAACTTCAAACATGTTGCCAGCCTACATCCACACATATATACATATAGAGATGTATTGTCATAAGAACAAGTTGCTTTGTATGCTTTCAACATGTATTTTAAGACACTTAGTTAAGCAATTTGGTTGATAGGACATATAATCCTTGTAAATAGATCTATGATTTTTCTCAATGCATATCAACAGCTGATTAAAAAAAAACACTAAACAACGTAAATGTTTCTGTCTCTTTAGGGTGACAAGGGTTTTCAAGGAAGACCTGGTCCCCCTGGTCCGTTAGCAATTGGAGACCCTGGATCACCTGTAAGTAAAACAGATTCTTGTTTGTGGTAAATAAATCCATACATTAGCAAACTGGTTTACTTTTCCGTACATTTATTTTTATAGACCCACAAACTCTAATATTCCTTTTTTGTCCATTTTTATATAATTGTAACTGTATGATGATGTGAGTGGCCCTCTGCTCGATAATGAATAACATTATAAACAGTCTGAACAATGGGAAACTCAAGTTTCTATGAGGATTGAATGGTGCAACATTCAGGGAATGTAAATCCATCTTCCTCAATGCACTGTCAGAGATTAGATGCAGGTGTCTCCACCTTAACCAGTGGTGGCCAACCCATGGCCCACCAACTAAAAGTGGCCCGGGGGGGTATCAAGAAGTGGTCCGCAGAACATTTGCAGTAGTATAAGTAAGTCTGTGTTAAATCAATATTTTGTTTCCGGCAGCTACTTAGTAGCAATATTTATAATATGACCAAACATATATGCCTCATACATACCTTCATTACATCCAGGCTCGATTATGCCAACTCTTGTCACCCTTCTCAACTCTTCCCTCCACAAGCTGCAGATCAGCCAGAACTCTGGAGCTCATGTCCTCTCCCGCATCAGGCTGCGTGCCCTCATCACACCCACCCTCGCCCGGCTCCCCCGCCTCCCCATCCCTCAGAGGATTGAGTTCAAAATCCTCGTCCTCTCCTTCAAGACCATCCATGGCCTTGTCCCTCCTACCTCTCCAAACTGCTAACCCCTTATCAAGCTGTCTGCTCCCTTCTGCTCAGCAGGCTCTGGCCTGCTCCACCATTGGCAGTTGGGCCTTCAGCCTCCCTGCCCTCACCCTCTGGAACTCCATCCCACATACCCTTCGCCTCACTCCTTCCCTTGCCTCCTTCAAGGTACGCCTCAAGACCCTCCTCTTTGACCATGTTTTCGGCTACCCATCCTGCCCTCCACCCTCCCTGATCCTAACCCCCTCCCAGGTCCTAATCCCTTACTGTTCAGCGCCTTGGGACGTCCTCCCGACATGAAAGGCACTTTACAAATGTCATTTTGTATTGTATTGTATATATCAAGAAATAATCAATCAAAAAAACATATTGGTTGGCCGACTAGTCTAGGCAAATCAGCCACCGAGGATTGGGAACCTTATATAAAATGATTTTAGATTTTGTTCTCTCAAATGGCGATCTTGTCAAACCTTTCAGTATAATAAAAAAAGGTTTGTTGGAATCGAAATTCCTATTCTTATTCTGTACAGGGCTATATAAATCCACTTTTGAGATGCACTTGAACAGAGCAGAGTGCAAAATCGTCACAGGAACTCATTATTTGTACCTTCTTTCCTACTTTTAGAGATTTATGCATGTGTACCTCCAGATCCTTTTCCTCATCGACTTAATAGATTATTTTATCCTTCAGGTTACTTTCTGCCGCATTTCGCCCACAAATCTACAGTCAATTCACTTTATACTATATTCTGTGAAGACGTTAAAAAGCTCTATATCAAATGCAAGGATTATTATTATTCCTTCAGTGTTCAACTGCATCAACCACTTATATAAGTATTTCATCCTGAAGTCTTATTCTAATTCTCACTATTTGCCAATCATCCAGTATATTTTATTGGTATACTTAGGTATAGTTAGAGGAATACTTCCTTAAAATCTGATCCATTCCACTCTAATGCCATAACATGGATCCATTTTCCTTGGTTGATTTGTCCAGGCAGAGACGCCTACATCTGGTCTCTGGCAGTGCGTGTGGAGGAGGGATGCACATTCCTTGACATCCTCTGGAGTTTCATGCATTGGCCAGCATGATCAACTTTGCAAACTTTGGCACATTTTAGGAAGTCTGAGATCAAATCCCAAAGGAATGCAGCTTCATTGTAATAGTACACATGTAGCCGTTGGCAGTATAGTCACATCATAGATTTTCTAAACTCTACACAGGATCCAGTTGTGACTCCAATTTTGATTACTTACCTTTAATTACAACACTTGCATTTATACAACACTTCACATGAGTAACATCTCAGAATGCTTAATCAGAGCGATTACTACACTCTCCACCTAGTTCAACTAAGATTGCTATTGGAGTTGGTTCTGGCTTCAGTCCTTTCTTTTTTGGGTGTGCTGTTAACACCTTTTGTGCAATAAATCTAATCCTATGTTGACAAGATGACTCGTAGGACTCATTTAATGTCTAGAATTATTTCAGATGGAATATCTGAATGTGAAAATCCAAACACAATAAGGAGATCTCAACTTCAGGGACCCTTTCTCTTTTATTGAATACTTGTTTTCTGAAGCAACAGGTTAAATCTATGAAGAGAACAACAAAAGAATTACATTTGTATAGTGCCTTTCATGTTGGGAGGACATCCCCAGGCGCTGGACAGCAAGAGTTTCAGACCTGAGCTGGGGATCGGGATCAGGGAGAGTGGAAAGCAGGGGGGGTGAAGTAGGGAGATCAAAAGCACGGCCGAAAAAGTGGTTCTTGAGATGGGTCTTGAAGGAGGTAAGGAAGGGGGCGAGGCGGAGGGACTGTGGGATGGAGTTCCAGAGGGTGGGGGCAGAGTGGCAGAAGGCCCGCCTGCCAATAGTGGACCGAGTGAGGCGGGGGATGTGAAGAAGGTCGGAGCCGCTGAGCTGATGGAGCGAACAGGATTGTAGGGGGTTAGGAAATCGCAGTGGTAGGGTGGAGTAAGACCATGGAGGACTTTGAAGGTGAGGATCAGGATCTTGAACTGTATCCTGTGTGTGATGGGAAACCAGTGAAGTCGGGCGAGGATGGGGGTGATAAGGTCACGAAGCCTGGTGCAGGAGAGGACACGGGCAGCAGAGTCCTGGATGATCTGCACTCTATGGAGGGAGGAGTTGGGGAGGCCGACAAGCAGTGAGTTTGCATAGTCGAACCTCAATGGTAATGAAAGTGTGAATGAGGGTTTCGGCGGCCTGCGGAGTGAGACAGTCGCAGAGCTGGGTGATATTGTGGATGTGGGGGAAGGCAGAGTGGGTCATGGCGCAGATGTGCGGTAGAAAGGATAGTTGAGCGTCCAACTGAAGAAAATTAGCTCACATCCAGTAATTCATGTCTGACAGACATTCTGTCAGGAGAGCAGTGGTCCTGGAGACAAGGATGGAGGCAGAGAGGTAGAGTTGGGTGTCATCCGCATACATGTGGAAGTTGACCACATGTCTGCGGATGATGTTACCAAGAGGGAGCATATAGATATTGAAGAGGAGGGGATCAAGGACAGAGCCCTGAGGAACGCCACATGAGAAGGTGCTGCGGCTAGAGGAGATTTGTGAAGATGAAGTGCAGGCGGTGTGAGAGGTACTATCTGAACCAGTCAAGGACAGAGCTGTGAAGGTTGAGGTGAGAGGAGAGGCAGTGGATGAGGATAGAGTTGTCGACAGTGTCGAGGAAGACGAGGATGCAGAGGGAGCCTTGGTCACAGATGGACAGAATGTCATTTGTCACTTTGACCAGGGCTGTTTCTTTCCTGTGGGCTGTACGGAAACCCGATTGGAAGGGTTCGTGAGGGGAGTGGCGGGAGAGGAAAAAGTGAAGCTGGAAGCAATAACTCATTCCAGGACTTTGGAGAGGAAAGGCAAGTTGCAGATGGGGTGGTAGTTTGAGAGTAGAGATGGATGCAGGGAGGGTTTTTAAGGATAGGAGCCGTTTTTAATGGGGTGGGAGCAATACCAGTGGACAGGGAGGGGTTTATGATGTCTGTGAGTAGAGGGCAAGGAGGTGGAGCTGGGATGTAAGGAGAGGAATAGGGATGGGGTCGAGGGAGCAGCTGGTCAGTTTCATGTGGGTTATAGTGGTAGTGAGGGAGGAGTAGGAGACAGGTTTAAATCAGCGGATAGGGAGATGGGAAGGGTCCAGGGTGGGATGGGGAGATGGGGAGGGTGTCGACTTTTGATTCGAGGAAGTCTAGCATTGCCTCGCAATTGGCATTTGAAGTGAGGATGGGTGAGGAGTGAAATGCTGGGTGGAGGAGTCGGTTGGTGGTAGAGAAGTGAAGCTGGGGTTGTTCTTGGCCTCCAAGATTGTCTTGAAGTAGAAAAATGATTTAGTGAAGGCAAGGGGAGAGTGGTAAGAGTTGATAAGGTCCAGCCAGATCTGCCGATGGACCGTTAAGTTGGATTTAAACCAGGTGCATTCAGTAGCATGCACGTGTGCTTTAAGGCAGTGGCTGGTGGCTTACATGAATAGGAGACACTTCAGGAAGAGAGGGGAGCAAGTGAATCGAGAGCCACCCCATTACCACGGCGGTTAGGTCGTGGGGTATGATGGAAGGTGTAGCCAGGTGGTGTGGCCTCTGTCAGGGGGAAGGTGTAGCAGGTTTCAGTGAGGGCGAGAATGTCGATGTTTTCGGCAATAATGACATCTTGGATGGTGAGTGTTTTGTTGGAGAGGGAATGGACATTTTGTAGGCTGATGTGGAGGGGGGACAGTTGGTGGCGGAATGTGGGGGATGAGGGGTGGGGAAGAGGGAGGACTGACAGGGAGGGTGGGAATGTGGATCAGGGATTTCAGGGATAGGATGAGGGTCGACCATCCAACTTACACGTTGCAAAATTTCCATGAACTGCCATGAACTGAAAGATCAATTTTATCTGAATTATCTGTAGATACTACTATTTTGAAGAAAAATGTAGAGTTTCCCCCATCAGCCTGGACAATATTCCTCCGACATAGAGATTCAGAAAAACTGCTACATTTGCCTGACATTAAAAAATCACTACACAATACACTACAACATATTATTTGTTTTGAAGTGTTATGTTATTTCAAGTACTATAATGAAACATTCATTTGCGTTGTGTACTGAGGTACTGTAAGAATATTGGTGCATGAAATCAGACTCTACTGAATGATCCAGCCTTTGCTAGTTTATTCCGATATTCCAGAATCTCAGACGAGCCATGTATCAGAATTATTTGCATAATTTTGGCCCCAAGACAAGAGACTTTCCATCCAGATAGTGTCAGCTGTACTTCTTC